CTCACTCACCCTTTCCCTGTGCATAGATTACAGCCAACAGTCTCCTTCACACTGAGATTTGCAATAAAATAAAGAGATTGCCCTTTGGGCAGGAGCTGTGTTATAGAGGATGGGTAACTTTTCTCACAAGCTTGTTAACCCATTCAGAGAAGCCAGACAAATGCATCAGTTGAAAACCAGATTCCTTTTTACATTCCATTTCTAACCCAGGGTTCATTGTATAGTGATCAGGAGCAGGAAGGCTAGCTGATTTCTACTCTCTATCTTTCTCTTACCCAGTGGTCATAGAGATCAGGAAGAGTAACCCTGGCTGATTTTCCCTCTATCTGACCAGGGTTCACTAGCCAGTGATCAGGATCAGGAGCAGGAGCCCTGGCAGATTTCCGTCCTCTCTAACCCGGAAGTCACTAGACAATGATCAGGAACAGGAGCTCTGGCTGATGTCCTAGCCTCTATTCAGGGCAGTTTATCTGGTTGTCAAATGAATTTGTGATTATACAGCAAAAACAAGGAAATCAAACCTTGACCCTTGATTGAGTTCAGCTACTCAAAAGTGTAGATTGAATATGTAGTTGGTGTGAACTCAGTGTATATGCTCTGTAGTCAGGTGTGTACAGGCTATGTTTCTAGTATGACTTTCCCATCAGCCTTCATCTCCTCTAAGCCAAACAGCTCCAACTTCTCCAATCTTCCCTCATAACTGAAGTTTCTCATCCCTAGAACTGTTTTCATAATTCCGTTCTGCAATCTCTCCAGTACATTCACAACCTTTATATAGTGTGGTGCCCAGAACTGTGCACATAACTCCAAATGAAATCTAACCCTTTAGAGAATAAAAACCAAAAGAACTGCGGATGCTGTAAATCAGGAACAAAAACAAAGTTGCTGGAAAAGTTCAGCAGGTCTGGCAGCATCTGTGAAGGAGAAAACAGAGTTAACGTTTCAGGTCCGGTGACCCTTCCTCAGAACTGATGGTGGCCGGGAAAACATCAGTTTATATGCAGAAAATAGGGAGGTGGGTGGAGTAGGGAGTAAACGATAGGATAGAGCCCGAAGAGAGAGAAAGACAGTTGGACAGACAAAGGAGTTGCTAACGATCAGGCTGGGAGGGTGAATAGTTGTTAATGGGGACTGTTAGTGACCAACAGCAGGGGGTGTGTAATGGCAGGCTACGTGGTAACACATGGTAACCCTTTAGAAGTTCAGCTTAATCTCCTTGCTCTTACACTCTATACCCATATTAGTGAAGCCTAGAAGGCCTACAGTCTATTAACAGCTCTCTCTACCTGTCCTGCCACCTTAGTGACTTATGCGCATAGACACCCAGGTTTTTCTGTTCTTATATGTGCTTTGGAATAGTACACTTTATTTTGTACTGTCTCTCCATATTCCTTCTACAAAAATGTATCACTTTACACTCCACCAACATGTCAATGTCCTTTTTGAAGTCCTGCACTGTCTTCCTCATGGTTTACAATTATTTCAAAGTTTGTGTCATCTGCAAACTTTGAAATTTGTCCCCTACACAAAAAGATCTAGATCATGTATATATCAGATAGCCCCAACAATTGTAGACTTTAGTGCTGGGAAACTTCTAGAAATAGTTATTTGAGATTGAATGGACTTGTTAAGGGAAAACTATGCCTAACCAATTAGCTGGAGTTTTTTAAACAGGCAGCAAAGGGGATTAACGTAAGTTTGGTGTACATGGACTTCCAAGAGGCATATAAATAAGGTGCCTCTTAGCAGACATGTAATGAAAGTGAAACATAATGAAGTAAAAGAACAGTGCTAATGTGGATACAAAATTGGCTGAAGGATAGGGAACAGAGTGCAATTTTTTGGATATGGATGAAGATTTGAAGTGCAGTTTCTCATGGGTCAGCAATGGGATCCAGCACTAAAGTCTGCAATTGATGGGCCTATCCTCACAACCTTTTTGAACAGGGCAGTGTTCCAAACCTCTGACACAAATCCCAAATCTAGGTGAAATGGAAAGATTTTTGCTAGTGCCTCTGCAATTTCTACTGTCACTTCCTTTAATATCCTTGGATGTATCTCATCTGGCCCCAGTATCTTATCAAATTTAATCATCAACAGCTTATCCAATATCTCCTCGTTATCAATTTTAACCCCTTCTTGTGACTGAGTTTTGACAGCATATGTCTCGTGGATAAAGACAGATGCAAGGTATTCATTCTTAGCCATGCCACTTGCCTCCTTGAGAAAAATCTACTTTTTGATCCTAATCAGTCTCTCTCCTTGTACCGTCTTTTTACTACTGATAGAAAACATTGTGATTCCCCATTATGTTGGCAAGTCTTTTTTCATAATCCCTCTTTGCTTCTCCTATTTACTTTTTCACCTCCCATCCCTGAATTTGTTTGCCCTACTTCTCCCATTTGTGAGAATATACTTTGCCTGTATTCAAGCTATGTTCTCCTTGAAGATAGCCTGTTTCTGTACTCACTTAAACACGGCACTGTGAGTAATTCAAGTATTATGAGTTCAAAAGTACTTCTTACTCATTTTTCTGTGCAGCTCCCTACGTTCCAATTGCAGGACCACATCTCCCTTCCCACGTATGTTGTTAGTATTAATGTCAACCAGAACTTCTAGTTGTTTGCCTCCCTCCAAAAGAATATCCTATTGTTGTTCTGTGACATCCTTGACCCTTGCTCCAGGAAAGATAACACACCATCCTGGAGTCATGTTGACCTCCTCAGAAATGCCAATCTGTTCCCTCACTAAAGAAATCCCTATCAGTACTGCCCACCCACTTTTCTTCCTCCCCTCCTATCCAGCTGGGATACCCATCATATCACAGGTTTAGCTTTTGTTGCACTCCTTCAAGGATCCATTGCACTCCCCAGTATCCACAACAGGAAGCTGGTTCGTGAGCGGGACCTCTGGGGAGTCCTGCAATTCTTGCCTGTGTCTCTTGGACTGCCAACCAGTCACTCATTTTCTATCTGTCTGCTTTCCCCGACTTGTGGTGTGACCACTTCTCTGAACTTGCTTTCCATGTAGCCCTCTACCTCACCGATGCATGTCAATGATTCTAGTCACAACGTGAACTCTGAAACCCAGCACTCCAGTTTGTGCAGCCAGGGATACTGCACAAAAAGTCGAAGGTAGCAAACTGCCATGCACCACTGAAGTCCATGTGCTGTAGGTAGATCCACAATGCTATTAAAGAGAGAATTCCAGGATTTTGACCCAGCAACACTGCAGGAATGGTGATATATTTCTAAGCCAAGTTGGTGAGTGGCTTGGAAGGGAACTTGCAAATAACAGTATTCCTGTGCTGTTGTCTTCTGGAAATCGATACAGTCCCTATCCACTGCTTTTGTCACCTCAATTTGCACATGGATTAGATATAACTTTTTTTTAATTCATTCATGGTTTGCTGGCTTGGCCAATGTTTATTGCTCATCGCTGAAGTTGAAGATAAAGTGCAAACAGAAATTGAGGACAAACCCCTTCAGATATTGGAAGCAATGCTGCAACATCTCTCTCTCTCACACGCGCGCACACACACACACACACAAATATAATATGAAACTACCCCATGCCCACATTTAAGGCCACAGAGAAATGCAGGCAACCAGGCATCAATTGAATGGAACAGTGCCACTGTGATGAAAAACAGAAGGATGTTGCACACAGAGTCATCAGCTGGGGTACACTGCCTCCTCTGGACAGCAGGAGGTAATGCCACAGTGTGTTGGACAGCTGCTGAAAGTGAGGAAGGATGGAGGGTTTTGAAAAAGCAGTCAAAATAGGAAATCCTTCTGTGCAGACCAGAATGGGTGTTGTGGGGAGGGGTGATTTCTGAGAGACAACTCAGGTGGTGGCTGAGGTCCCTGAGGGATGTTTCGGAGTCTTATGCCAATGAAAAATTCCAAGCAAATTGGAGGGTTGTTCAGACAGGGATGTTCCACATGCCTGAGCCATCTCAACACTTCGAGGGCATTGGGGCTGAGCATCATTAAGTTCCTCAATGTGGGTTGGATGCAGTCAGAGACATATGTCATGCAAGCTTTTCGAGTGATATCCAGACCACCCCCCCACCATCCGCTCTGTTCCCCTGGGCAGCAGACCACAAGATGTAGGAGCAGAAGTAGGCCATTCAGGACATTGAGTCTGCTCCACCATTCAGTGAGATCATGGATGACCCAATAATCTTAAACTCCATTTTCCTGCCTTTTCTCTGTACCCTTTGATTCCCTTATTGATTAAAAATTTATCTCAGCCTTCAAAATACTAAATGACTCAGTCTGAACTGCCCTTTGCATAAAAAATTCCACAGATTCACCATCCTATTCTGAGATAACCCTCTGGTCCTAGACTCTCCAACCTTTCCACATCTATCCTGTCGAGTCCTCTAAAAATTATGGATGTTTCAATAAGGTCACCTCTAATTCTTCTAAATTCCAATGAGCATAATGCTGCTGTACACACTTTTCCCTCATAAGATCATACCTGATATCGACCTAGTGAACCTTCTCTGGACTGCTTCCAATGCCAATAAATCTTTCCTTAGATCAGGGACCCAGCTGTGATCTGACCAGTGCCTTGTATGGTTTTGGCAACACCTCCCTATTTTTATACTCCATTGCCTTTTGAAATGAAGGCCAATAACGCATTTGCCTTCCCTCTCCTGCTTAGCTTTTTGTGAGGTATGCACGGGGTCTGACAAATTCCTCTGTTTTGTAACATTTTGCAGACTTTCTCCATTTAAATAATATTCATCTATGCTATTTTTTCTGCCAAAGTGCCACAACCCTTGACTGGGCTTGAAGTTTCCTTTACAGTTTTAAAGTTCTAACTGATTTGAAATGTTAAACTAATTCTGGTTTGAAATACACTCACCCTCCAATCATGACAGAATGCTCCTGTCACCAAATTCCCAACTGTGACGCCAATAATGCAGATGCTAGAAATCTGAAATATAAACAGAAAATCCTCGAGATATTTAACAAGTCAGACAGCACCTGTGAAGAGAAGAGTCTGTTTTTATCCCAATTTTTACAAACTGTTTACAATGCATTCCGTCCATTTACATAGAGTCAGTGTGGACATAATAGGTTCACTAGTAGCTAACTGGTAATGTACTCACTCTCTGTTAACTCAAGCAGAGAATGCAAACATAGATTGCAGTTAATAAAATAATTTGCCTAAAGTGGCATCACTGGCAGAATCGGCATGATGTTGGATTAAATTTGAGATCCAATCTACTTCATCCTGGACCATCAGCAGTACAACTTGAAGAGGATGTGAGGGTTGGAGACAATAGGCCTTCCAGCTGACCAGAAGTTTGCCCAAAAGTAAGAAGTTGCAGTTTCTGAAAAAGGTGTTCAAATATGTGTAAAAGGATTGAAGATGACGCAAACTGTAATCTCTCTTGTTATATGTTAAAGTTATTTTTGCAATCGCTGTCTAACTTGTCTTAATGTAATCATACCCTCCTGCTGAAGGTCACACTATCTTCAGAGAAATTGATGCAGATAGTGCGGACAGCCAAAAAAACAAACCTTACAGGAGCTTTCAAATACAAACTTTGATTTGGATTTGGACACGAGAAGCTACATTGACCATATTTAGAGATTTGTTGCAGCTGTTGTCTAATTGGCCACTTTTAAATTTAGTTGTTTACAGTGGTTTCAATTAAAAGTACTTGTACAATAATGTGACACAGTGCTGGCCAATACTCTCTGACCATCTACCCCACCCCCCAAACTTCGCAATCCAACTGAAACTTGGTCTCTTGCCAACAAATGCTGTTTGATCATCAGATTGAAGTTTGCCTTCTGTCGAAATGTTTGTGAATGTTCATATGTAAATTCACTTGACATTGGCATCTGCACTGTGCCAAGGGAGAGAGACCAGGACCAAGTGGGTCAGTGTATCTTATTAATATAGAGCAAAGGCAGGCAGGTGATATTCAGTAATGGATTGACCATGAGCTAATGAACTGGTAGGCAGGTCTGAGGGGCTAAATATCTTTTTTCTATTTGCTGCATTGTCTAAATGGTCCTCATGCATTGAATGGAATACATGACATGGGCAATTCTGACTTATGCTTTGTTGAGTTTTCAGCTTTGCAAGCTGGATCTCTGCTGCAAAGGAGCTATCCAAGTCAAAAGTTGATGCTGCCACAATCATGTTTTTTTTAACTTGAATGTACCATTTTCATTAATTATTCCATAAGACCTTGCTGTGCATGCCTTGATGAGATTTCCAGATGGGGAATGGAGGGTTAACTCATCTGCTGTAAAAAAAAGAACAATAAAATGTCATTCAAAGAAAAGCAGAATTCAACTCAAATGATATCATGGTCATATAGTCCCAATACTGACCTCTGAAGAATTCCACTACCAACCTTCCTCCCATTGGAAAACATCCAAGAACACTCTGTTTCCTAATGCTCAGCTGGTGTCATATGCATGTTGCTTCTGTCCCTTTTATTTCAAAAGATATACCTTTGTTCACAAGTTGTGTGGCAATGTATTAAATGCCTTTGAAAGTTCATGCGTACCACATCTACAGCATTACCCTCATCAATGCTTTCTGGTAATTTTAATTGAAACAAAAATAGAATCAACAATGAGTAGAAGTCTCCTCCTGCAGATTTCTGCTTTGTTTTACTGTCAGGCCATGTGAGATAGGCAGTTGAGGGATAGATCGAGATACTGTGTGAAATGTCAAGGTCAGTGAAAGTTTAACGGAACAGTGTTATCAGGTTTTATTGTCTACTATTTTTTGCTATTCCTAAAGTGATCAGCTGTACATTTGGCAGACTCGTTTTCAGATTTGATTCAGCCCATGATCATGACCTTGAACATCCAATCATCTGTCATTTTAATTTTCCATCTTGCTCTGACTTTTCTATCCTTGACTGACAGTAGCAAAGCTGAATGTAAATTCAACAATCAGCCCCTTTGTTTTTGATTCAGCATCTTACAGCTTTTAGACTTGACACTGAGTTCATGAACTGAATATGTTAAACTTGGCCATGCCCATACCCACCTGGCCACTACTCTCAACCCAGTATCCTCACCTGTTTTGGCTCCTTCCTCATTGCAGTCTCTCAATTTTACCTTTGCTTTCTCCTCCCATCCTTTTGATGACAGATGTTCACCAACTCATCATTCACACCCACTTTGGACATATCTTTTGTTTCTGTATTTGTCCTGTTACCACTCCCTTTGGCCTGTATCATCGCTGCTTCATTTCATTTCATCTCTCTCATTTTTACCTTATCACATGGCTTCCTTTTTGTTCTTTTCCACCTTCCCCTGCTTTTTACTTGTTTATAAGCGGTTACATCCTGGACTGTTCCCAATTTGATAAATGATCATAACACAAAATGTTAACTCTGTTTCTTTCTATTTAGATGCTGTACAACCTGCTGAGTGTTTTCAACATTTTCTGTTTTTATTTAATAAGCACAAACTTTGATGTTTTGTGATATTAAGGCTGCCCCTACTCAAGTCTCACTTCCAGAACTGACAGTTCATGAAAATTTGAATTTACTAAAACTTAAATCATCACATTCACTGAGACTTGCAGATAGGGAAAGGAGTAGACCATCGTCTGTTCTCAATATCTAAGCTCTCTGCTAATTCATTCTCTCTCTGACACAGAACACCCTGGAAAAGTGCAGCGTTTGTTCCAAGCCAATTATGGAGCGAATCTTGCGGGCAACAGGCAAGGCTTATCACCCACAATGCTTCACCTGTGTCATGTGCCACCGCAGCCTTGATGGGATCCCCTTCACTGTTGATGCATCCAATCAGATTCACTGCATTGAGGACTTCCACAAGTATGTACCACAAACTATGTGTCACTAACAGATTAATATCCAAATAGTGGAAAGAGTCCTTAAGTACTGATTTAACTGATAGTATAATCAATAATTCAATTAGTTTTTGAATGAATTATGCCCCATGATGTCAACAGTGGGATTCAAGTGTAGAATGTGTTGCATGTGTCAGTTGAACCTTATTGTTTGAGTCCATTCACGGACCCCCAGGACACCTGGGAACTCCACACTCTGGATGAGTCTGTGTATTGGAGAAGGTTGAAGTGTGGGAACCACTGGATAAGGAGGGGAAGAACGTACCCAACGTTGCCGTCATCCTGATGGTCACCTTTGTGTTCAGCTGCATCAAGCTGTGCGTAGACCCTGGGTATGCAAACACCAAGTGTCACTATGTATTGAGGTTCTACCTGTCCCCAGTGTTGGGAAGGATCAAACTGGCCTCACTGCCACAGAACGCTCCAAATAGTTGGACTATTCTGTATCACTTGTCCTATGTAGAGAAATTTGCAAAGAAAAACACCTTTAACCACAAGTCCTTCAGGAAGTGGTCAGCACAAAGCGTCCTCGAGACCCTGAGGGAAAAGGAGAGGGTGGATGCTGTCGCGTGGTTCCCTGAGCAGACTGTCAGAGTCATTTCACAGAATGCCTCATTACCAGATCTTTCCAACAAGCACCAAAACATTGTTTGGCTGGTGGTGAGAAAGGCACTACCTGTGAGATTTTATATGTGTGCCTGGGCAGCCTGCGCCACCGCACTCTGCCCTCGAAGTGGCTGCAGGGGGATTGAGACTGTGACACATCACCTTCTGGAATGTGCCTTTACAAAGGAAGTCTGGAGGAAGATACAGTGGGTTTTGTCAAGGTTTGTCCTGAGCAGCTCCATGATGTGGGACTCTGCGCTCCAGGGTCAGTCCCCCAGGACGCACACTGAGACAAACATCAGCTGTGCCTGGAAGACCATCAACTCGGTGAAAGATGCTCTTTGGTCTGCCCTAACCTTGTTGATCTTCCAGAACAAGGAGTTCACCCTGACCGAGTGTTGCAGACTGGCACATTGCAGGGTCCGGGACTACGTGCTGAAGGACACACTAAAGCTTGGGGCAGCTGCCGCCGAGGCTCAGTGCAGAAAGTCCACTGTCTGACGTCCTTCTGCTGAAGTTAAATATGGGTCTGTTCAGTTATCAGATCCTTCTAGTGCCTCAAATATATGTAAATATTAGTATTGCATAAGAGAGGTCTTTGGGTTTTTTTTGGGATAGAGTCAAAGTTCAACGTTTTGTTTGTTTGCAAGATATGCAATTGTGCAGAACCAAACTGCTTTAGTGTCAATATATGTATACAAAGAATTTTTTTTATGAATAAAGTATATTTTCGTAATTAAAAAAAGTGAGAACCAGCAGCACCTCTAGTTCTATGTGCACTTCAATCCCACTTTATGGTCTTGCAGTCGTACAGTATGAAGAGGAGGAGCATGGTCGAAGCTTCTGTCCTCAAGACTGTTCGTGGGCCTTTTAAAATGGATAATTCTGATTTAAAGGACTGAATACTTCTGGTTATGAATAATTTATTCGAATTCATTAACCAAAAACATTGGAGAGACTCACTGGGATATAATAATAGTCATACAGCATGGAAGCAGACCCTTTGGTCCAACTTGCCCATGCTGGCAACATATCCTAAATCAATCTAGTCCCATTTGCCAGCATTTGACCCATTTCCCTCTAAACCCTTCCTATTCATATACCCAATTCAGATGCCTTCTAAATGTTGTAATTGTACCTACCTCCACCACCTCCTCTGGCAGCTCATTCCATACATGCAACAACCGCTGTGTGAAGAAGTTGTCCCACAGGTTTCTTTTAAATCTTTCCCATCTCATCTTAAACCCTCTAGGCCCTCTAGTTTTGGACTCCACTATGCTGGGAAAAAGATCTTGGCTATTCATCCTATCCATGTCTCTCATGATTTTATAAATCTCGATAAGGTCAGCCCTTAGTCTCTCAAGCTGCATTGAGAAAAGCCCCAGTCTACTCAGCCTCTCCTTACAGCTCAAACCCTCCAATCCCAGTAATGTCTTTGTAAATCTTTTCTGAAACCTTTCAAGTTTCCTATAGCAGGGACACCAGAATTGCATACAATATTCTAAAAGTTCCTGAAGGTACTGACTCTCACTGAGGTACAGTTACTGAAGGTTCAACTCTCATTGGGATATAGTTCTTGAAGGTGCTGACTCTCATTGGGATACAGTTCCTGAAGGTACTGACTCTCACTGGGATACAGTTCCTGAAGGTGCTGACTCTCAGTCGGATACAGTTTCTGAAGGTGCCGACTCTCACTGGGGGACAGTTCCTGAAGGTGCTGACTCTCACTGGGATACAGTTCCTGAAGGTGCTGACTCTCAGTCGGATACAGTTTCTGAAGGTGCTGACTCTCACTGGGGGACAGTTCCTGAACGTGCTGACTCTCACTGAGGGACAGTTACTAAGCTGCTGAGTCATAATTTTATTGCCTCACATTGTGCATTTTCATTTAGTTTGTCAGTGATAGGGTTCTGATATTTCACAAAAGCTCTGCCTGTGACACTAATAGGTTTCTGCAGCTTTCACCTTGGGTTTAATCTTTGATGGGGGACAGCCCAGGTCTTACTCCTATCCAGTCCATAAGGCAGCCAAGTTATTTAAGACTATCCATCAGAGAAAGGGGCAAACACTTATCAGGGATAGATGGAAGCTTGAATTTGAGGTCATGATAAGATCAGCCATGTTCTTATTGAATGGCAGAGTAGATACAGGGAACTGAATGACCTCATCCTCCTCCTTGTTCACACTGATTCTTGCCTCTGCTCCTGCAGGAAGTTTGCCCCAAGGTGCTCTGTCTGCAATGAGGCCATCATGCCAGCTGAAGGCCAGGAGGAGACGGTGCGCATTGTGGCTCTTGACCGTGATTTCCATGTGCAATGCTACCGCTGTGAGGTAAGATTACATCCAATCACTTAGCCACAGAGGGTGCCATCAACACCAGCAAAATCAGCTCTGTGTCATATTACATCAATGCTAAGTTACCAGGGTCAGCTGTGAGTTAGTGAGCAGCTTTCTCCCATAGAGTTCCAAACTCTAGTGGCTAGTACTGAGGCACATTGCACTAACAACGGGTCAGTACTGAGGGAGTGCTGCATGTCTGAGAGTCAGTTAGAGGGTCAGTACTAAGGGAGTGCTGCATGCCTGAGAGTCAGTCAGAGGGTCAGTATTGAGGGAGTGCTGCATGCCTGAGAGTCAGTCAGAGGGTCAGTACTGAGGGAGTGTTGCACTTTGGAGGGTCAGTACTGAGGGAGTGCTGCATGTCTGAGAGTCAGTCAGAGGGTCAGTACTGAGGGAGTGCTGCATGCCTGAGGGTCAGTCAGAAGGTCAGTACTGAGGGAGTGCTGCTCTGTCAGAGAGTCTATAACT